TGCTCAGAAAATTTCTTGGCGTTACATGTAATTTTTGCCGAGATAGGAGGGGTCGGATACTTATGATTTGTACTGTATGTTAAGCTTGGCAATTAATAGTAACGATAATAGAATGCATAACAATTTAATATTTGTCTATTTATGGACATACGAATTCCAAATCTGTGAAAGGATCAAAGTTAACTAATTGTTACAAAGATATTAATGTGCTTATGATATTAGTAATTAGTAACGTCTTATTTACAATTAATCAATAAGCATTCGCTCAATCAAGGAAAAATCTGAATCGTTGTTATTGTTGGTATTTTTATGAGTCCAAAGTTTCTCAAAGATATTCGAAATATAGACAGAGAGCGAATCACCGTGCAAGCTTGTTATTTGATTTGAATCTTTAAATATATTTGATTCCAGTAGGGATGCAATATTCTTAATTGTTTCGGCTAAATCAAAATAATATTAATTAAAGAAAAAATAAAGCAAATGAACATACATGTAAAATAGACAAATTACCTGTAAGAGCTGTGCTTAACTTTCCTTCACTATCAGCACTACAAGTAATAATCTTATCCAACATCCATAACAAATAATATCCCGTGTCTTTTAATATCATCTCTTCGCAAATACTTATATGATCGTCATCGAATTGCTGTTTATGTTTTTCCTTAGAAAAAGTCGAATCATGATGAAAAGTGTGCTCAGAAGCAGATTCATGTACAATATCTTTCTTTATTAATCGGCTACACTCTTTTGCAGCAACAAAGGCAACAGGTTCCTTAAGTCGTGGCTCTACATTTGTGCATAGATTCACCAGTATTTGTGCTATTAGCTCTCTTGGATCTTGATCCTTGTTGGGAAGAAGTTTGTTATTTCCCGCGTAAGTCTCGGGGTTGTGCTCTTGAAGCGCTTCGTTAAATACTATTTTTGTTAGCGGATAGATAGCACGTATTAATGTAGCTAATGCGTTTGCTAAGGTGCTAAGAATGTCATCGTATTGTGATGCAGGTAACGTAGGCAACCGAAGAAATTCTTGATTTCAAAGAAAATAATATTATATTTAGAAAGGATTAAAAAAAATCAATTCGAGTTAACGATAGAAAAGATTACCTAACAACTTTTTAGAGATGTTGCCAAAACTTTGAACACACGAGGAATATGTCTGCCATAAATTGTTGCAGGTCTTGTTACTTGTTTTTATTATAGAAAATAAAGCGGTCAATTTAAAATTTATATAATTTATAATTTTTATTATTGTTTGTGGAATGACAGAGTCCTGTGCTGACATCACAGTCGCCTGACGAAGATTCTTCATTTGCTGTATGAAGGACATTGCTTGCATGATATCAAACAATTCCCATGGACCTATTAAAAAATAATGCTTGGAAAGACGAAGTCGAGATAAATATCATTGCGATTAAAATATCAAGGAAATTACGTCAACCTTCATCGCCGGCATTAATTTGGTTTATTATTTGGGCGTCTGGATCGATGTACTCGAAAAATGATGTGATTTTATGGTTGTCTATTGCAGTCTTTTTGCTCTGTTTTTTGTTGGTAGTTGTTGTCGTGGTCGCTAAAACTGTTGATGATGCACGGTTATGATCTTGTTGTGGTTTTGTTTTTTTACGTCTTGCAGTGGTTGTGGCTGCAACCTGAGGAGTTTGTTTGGCATTTTCCAATTCTATTTATTATAGATAAATAATGGATCTTAGTCATGGAATTTTACATTATTCGCGCCTGATCATAAAGTCTCATAAATTCTTCAAGTCACCGTCGTATTGTTAATATTACCGATTTCAAACACGCATAATCGTTGCTTCAGACGTTCTACTTCATGCTCCAACTCGAAAGCACGTTTTTTCCAAGGATTATGTAAAATATCAGGATTAGAAACTCTTTTCGGCTCTTCTACTTCTCGAGAATCTTTTACGGAAAAGACATCGTCATTTGGAAGGTTATTATTGGTGATAAGCTTGTCTTCTTCGAAGGTACATTTCCGTTTTAGCTGCTGTTTTACGGCTTCCACAATGTCCCTTTTACATTTTGCTACTCCCGTTGTTGTTGTTGTTGAACAGTTTATTGAACATTTCACAAAGTCGATGTACTCTACAGAGAAACGTGATAAGCTTTCATTCTGTGCAATGGTAAAAAAGCAATCCGGAAGAAAACCCAAACCTTTTATTGTAAATTGCGATGGCTTGTTTCGGAGGATTACCAATGCCTTTTTGAAGAGAAATGATTCGTTTATTTACTTCGTTTGATTGGAAATGCGAAGAATCAAATCTACACAAGAGCAAAAAATACCAAACATAGCCTCAACCTATTGTAGTGAGTGTCGACTGCCGGATCCAGCAAAATAGGTGAAGAATTTGTCACAGAAGAACGGGACATTATTATTTTTTTCGGTGTAACAATTACTTTTTTTTTGAATATTTAATTCGCGATGATCACAAAAAATTAGTTCACGTCGTTAAATATGAAGTCCACGAAAAAAACAAACACGAACCAAAAGGCAGTAGCGGCCTTTGTTCGAACTCATTTTACTTGTATACAATATAAATATCAGTACTTACGTAGATATTATATATCAATATAAAATGAAAAGATTCAAGTCTCCTTCAACTATTATTGATAAGTACCCCGAGCTCAAGTGTTTAGAAGAGACAAAGAGAAAACTAAAGCAAGAAATTTCTAACGTAGAAGAATCCATTCGAAACGCCAAAATTGTGTTAAAATATCAAGAAAAGGTACTTTAAGCTCGATAACTATTTTTATTTTCCAAATCCCACAAAGAGATTAATTACTCTTAAGCAATTTTATATTACTTTTATAACAAAAAGAATGAAGATGCCACTCTAAATAACCTGATATTGAAATGGCGTCGCGCAAGTCAAGAAGCTGCAGAGTTTCTGTTCTCCAAATTTCAAGAGGCTCAAAATTCAAGTTTTTTACAAAACAACTTTTATTCGAATAATAATCGGGGAGGATCAAATAGCAATAGTAATTGGGGTTGGGAGGATTATTATGGTAGTAATAACAAAAATCGAAGAGATCGGGGAGATGGTGAAAATGAAGATGAGGATGAAGAAGAACAAAGCGACAGTGATGGTAATAGCAACAGCCAAAATATAAATATGAAATCAATGCTTACACAGTTTGGTGTTGACATTGGGTTGATTAAGTGGGATGAAGATCAAGAATCCTTTCTAGAATAATTATTTATCAATGATTCTATCTATCTGCTCATTTCTATATAATTGTTACAAAGCGAATTGCAATAAAATACTAGGAATGTAGAAATATATTAAGACACAAAAATAAATTATCTAGATACCACCGCCTTCTTCTCAAACCCCACCTTTACCTCTCTTCTTATTTATGATCGATTTATTGCTTATGAACTCGTTGCTAATCGTTCCAAATCTTGAATACTGGAAATATTTCCATTTAAATCTTTATATACACCCAAAAACTCATTTAAGACACGATCAGCATCATCGGTCTCTTTAAAATGCTGTTGCAAGAAACCACGTAAATCCCGCCAGAACTTTGGATCTTTTGCCGTACCTGTTCCCGAGTCCGAGAGTCGATTATTGCTCGTAGAGGTTGTAGTGGTCGTGGTAGTAGTGATGGATGAAACAGCAGTTGGTAAAGATACTGATGATGAGGATATTGTCGAGGTAGTTTCAGCAGGCGAAGAAATTGAAATACCACCACCAATACTACCGGCTTTCTGTACCAAATGTATAGTGGTATCATCGGTGATATTGTAATCCGCCAGCGTTTTTGTATCGATCAACGCTTTTCCCCTTAGAATCAATCGTTGATTCGCTGGACTTAACTGCGCAAGTGGTCGAATTTTTTCTTTTAGTGCGACGATGGTGTCAGTTTCGGCTAATTGAATCGTATAAACTCCTCCGCCTTTTAATGATTTCACATTTACTTTGATCAATTTGCCTTCTTATTTATATAATTATTAGGTCAATTAATGCTTGTTATATTAATTCAGATTGAGAATCAATTATTTATAAAAATAACCTTGTGCATTATTAGAATCACTGCTACTGGTGGCTGGGACAGTTACGCCGCCAGTTTGCGCTTTGTTCTTTGATTTGTTGAGGAGAGTCTATACAGCATAAAAAGCGATAAGTTAAACAGTAGACAGTAGGAAACTTCTCAAGCAAAATATATCGATGATACCTTAATGACAGGTTTAGGTCGAGTTTGAGCAGGAGGCGCAAAATCCTGTGGATATTTTACAGCACGAGAACTTAGTGTTCCCAAGATTTCAGTGGCAAAAGCAGTTTGGTCTACAAGATTCATTGTGTGGGTATTGATAATCTAATCAATGTTGTCGTAGATTTTAAATGTCACCCAAATTATTGACATTTAGACTATATTTGGTCCCAAATCATTTTCAGCCAATCAAATTTGACTTTGTTATCTCGTGACTTTAAACAAATGCAACTTGGGATTTTGATAAGTCCTACGACAAATAAGGAGAACTAGATAAATACTGTTTATTCTATATATAACATTATCGTTATCGTTCACTAGAATAGAACAATCTAGTATTCGCTGCAGTGTAATCGACCTTCATTTAGGTATTTAGTTGCGAGATAACGATAATTTTAGTTTTTAACTTTAAAAAACTTGCAACAAAATAATGAAAATATCAATTCACAGAAATTCCATAAGACATAGTTCATTCCTAGCATCGAATTTGCGTAGAACATCAATTATTCAAGTTAATTTGAATAATGCAAGAAATTATATTGCTCAAGTTCAAATTGAACCAGTATTTCGCACTAATGAAGTCAACCGAGATGCAATAAAGGTATTGGATGTTTGAATTAAAGTTTAATGAAAAGCCAGCGTATAATAATTACTCTTTTCTAATAAGGCAAAAATCGCCACCATAGAAAAACAAAAGCCTTTCAACAACTTCTTGACTGACAAATTTCAAAGAAAACATACGTATCTTCGAATTTCACTCACCGAAAAATGCAATTTACGATGTAAGATTTTGTTCCTTTAATTTATCCTTTGCATATTGTCTTTGAAATTGACGTGATAATTTGAAAATTGTAAAGGTACATATTGCATGCCTGCCGCTGGTGTTGAATTGACACCCAACGAGAAACTCTTGACGTCAGAAGAAATCATTAGGTTGGCAAAGTTATTTGTTTCACAAGGCATTAATAAGATACGACTTACTGGAGGGGAGCCTACGGTGCGAAAAGACATTGTTGAATTAGTAGGTGAATATCTTTTAGATGGCGATTCATGTTTAATGTCTATTTATCAATAATATTTGACGTTTATTAGGTGAATTGGGACGATTGAAACCTTTGGGACTTGAGACACTTGCCATGACATCCAATGGTATAGCTCTTAAACGCAAATTACCACAACTTGTAAAGAATGGACTCAATCTTCTTAATATTAGTTTAGACACCTTGGATCCATTTAAATTCGAATTGATTACGCGTCGAAAAGGTTTATTTCATAGTTCTCTTTCAATTTCAATCTAAACATTTTGGGGAACAATCGATTCGATTCTTTTTCTTCTATGATTAACAGGTTTAGAACGCGTGCTTGAAGCTATCGATCATGCTGTTGCCTTAGATTTTTCTCCTCCAAAAGTAAACTGTGTCATTATCCGCGGTGTAAACGACGGGGAATTCTTGGATTTCGTGGAATTGACGCGTAATAAACCTCTCGACGTTCGATTTATAGAGTATATGCCGTTTGACGGTAAGTTTTTTTCGAGTAATCTATTATTTGAAGTGATCTTAGCTATGATGATTTGACTTTTAGGTAATAAATGGAGTCAAAATAAGTTGGTTCCTTATCAAGAACTTTTGAAGACGCTTTTTAATAAGTATCCTGATGCCAAACAATTAACGGATGATCCGCATGATACTTCCAAGGTAATACTGGCTAAATAATATTCTACAATTGTTGATATGAGACATTGAATATGTTATTGATAATCATGTAATTCTGTAGGCTTACCGTGTACCAGGATTTTCGGGAAAAATTGGATTCATTACGTCAATGTCCGATCATTTCTGTGGAACTTGCAATAGACTTCGAATTACTGCTGATGGTAATCTAAAGGTAGATTGCGTCTCAATGAAATTAAAAATTTTGATTCAACATAGAAATTAAACGGTAATAATACTAATGTGTTTGATTAACCAACAAAAAGGTATGCTTGTTTGGAAATACAGAAGTCAGTCTACGTGATTTATTGCGAAATAAAGTGCCAGACGAACAAATCTTGGAATTTATCGGAATGGCTGTTGGCAACAAAAAAAAGCAGCACGCTGGTATGTTTGAGCTGGCCGCAGCTAAAAATAGACCCATGATTTTGATAGGTGGGTAGTTGATTGAATCAATAGAATCAAGGTGGGTGGTGGATTATTATTTATGTGATTTGTTAATAATTTTCGACGGTGTTTTTCAACTATATATGTATGTATGATCAATTAGTGACTGGATTGAATTATTTTACGCGACTACAAATGTCTCCGTCTCATCCATATCCATTCAATTCGCGATTACAGCTAAAAAATTATACAAAACACCGAGATCTTCGCTTCTATACTACAAAAAAACAATTTAAAAACAATTTATCAACTTCTATTGCTGACAATACAAATTCAAATATCGATAGCAGCACTAGTCTAAGTCACATTAATAGTTCAACTGGCTCCGCCTCAATGGTAAACATAACTCAGAAATCTCCGACCTTTCGCACCGCCACAGCACAAGGCAAAGTAATCATTGGCGAAAAAGCATACAAGCTCATTCGTGAAAATAATCTAAAAAAAGGTGACGCATTATCCGTAGCACGAATAGCAGGTATTCAAGGAGCAAAAAAAACCAGCATTCTGATCCCGTTATGCCATCCTCTCTTACTTTCTCATATCTCGGTCGAGATGAACTTGTTGGATTATGAAAATGCTGTGGAAATTATAGCCCGAGTAGAATGTGATGGGAAGACGGGCGTGGAAATGGAAGCGTTGAGTGCTGTTTCTGTTGCCGCTTTGACTATTTTTGATATGTGCAAGTCAGCAGGAAAAGGAATGATAATAAAAGATATTCGGATTATGGAAAAGACGGGTGGTAAGAGTGGAGTTTGGCGCAATGAAGATCCAGTTGAAGATATTTAATTTATTTTTTTGTCGTATCATATTTATTATCTGTATAATACTTTAGAATCAGTAATTTTTATTGGCATTTTTTGTATAATTAAATCCATCGAACAATAAAAATCAAATATTGAAAAATAAAATTAATTCTAGCTTTCAACAGCGACAACAGAAGGAGGAACCTCCACCTCAACCGATTTATTAGATTTGTTTTCTGACAAGACAATTGTACATTTTTTATTAATGTTTATTTCTAGCACGAGTTCAAATTGCAAGTCACCTATTTTGTTACTTGGTTTTAACTCGGTTAATACTATTTCCGCTAGCAATTTTTCCGGCACTATTTTCGGTTGTTCTGTTGTTGTTGATGAAGGATCCCCCATTTTATTCTCCAATATTTCCGCTTTATTTATAATTGCTTCTACTTTTTTATCTTCATCATCTTTGTTATCATCACACTCAGCCTTTACTACACTTTGTTGCGGACTACCCTCCCAAACAGCAACATATACTTCTTTCTGAGCCAACTCCATGTTCGAGAACTGCACTACCCGTCGAACAGGCAATGGCGTATTTTCTTTCACAATTGTCACGAATTGTTCATGCGCATTCAAGATACCGATTACTTTGGTGAGATGTGGGACGTTGGTGATTTCGCGATCGCTAATAATGTCTTGAATTTGATAACCTTTTATTTTTAGCTCTGAGATTAAGGCTCCTTGGTATGCACATCCGTAGGCGACTACCTCGTCTGGTTCAAGGTCGAGGCGAATGTGGGTTTCGGGATTTGGAAAGATTTCACGGAGTTTTGTTTGGAGTTTGGGGATTCGGCAGGAGCCTCCGACGAGAATCACCTACATTAAATTGAACGATAATATAGCATTAATCTGTTTTTATTATTATAATTATAACAAAAGTTAGACAAAAATATAAATAAAAGTTACCTCATCTATTGAATAAGGCTCCAATGAATTCTCTTTTAACGTGTCTCTAATAACATTCAAACACCTCGTAAATAACTTACTCGCCATAATCTCAAATCTCGTCCGATTAATCGTTCCATGAAAATCAACTCCATCCGCCAGCGACTCCACCGAACAAGGAGCATTTAAACTACTCGACAAAGTTTTTTTAGTAGATTCAACTGAGGTGCGTAATTTTGCCAACGCCCGTTTGTTATTCGAAATATCAATTTTTGATTTACGTTTGAATTCGTTAGCGAAATGCGTCACTAGCAATTGATCAAATGCCACGCCGCCTAGAGTTGGATCATGAGTGCTTCCCATTATTGTATAAATACCGGAACGTACTGATATAATGGTTACGTCGAGAGATTCTGAACCAAGATCCACAATTAGTGCCGTGGTGTCGTTTCCTGTTATCGCAGATGGATTATTTAAAGCATTTGTTTCTTGTGATGATGACGATGATGACAATCTAGAGGAAGATGATTGTTCGCCTAATTGATATGCTAAAGCAGCAGCAACCGGTTCATGCATTAATTGAAGTACAAGCAATCCCGCATTTTCAGTTGCTTTTTTTAACGCGTCACATTGTGATTCAGTAAAATATGTTGGAACGGCCAATACGACTCCAATCACATTCTGTCCTAAAAAATTCGCAGCACTTTCGCCAAGCAGTGTAATATATTTTGTCAGGATTTCAGAGACAGTGAATGTTGTCTCTTGATCTTTGTATTCTACCGTGTATGCTGGTTCGCCATTTTTTTCTATCAGTGAGGCGGCGTCATTTGTGATGTTGTTTGTCGAGACTAATTCTTGGTAGCTTTAAATTTGAACAATTAATCAACTACGTCAAATAATCTAATTCAAAAGTATTGTAGAGATGGATAAAAGATATTTACTTACCTTTTGCCTATTAAATTCCTAAACTGCGTGATTGTGTTCTTTGAGTTACGTAGTAATTGAGCTTTGGCTTGAGACCCGGTAAACTATGACCAATAAATCAATTTTGTATACAAGAAGCTTTGAAAAGATTGGATTTTAGATTTTTCTTATAACATTCTTGTACCTCTTCGTCACCAGAAAATGCGACAACCGTCGGTATTTGCCTTTCACCGTCTTGATTCGCTATACAATCCGCACGACCATCCTTTTACATAACCATAATACATTATTAATTCAAGATTAACTGAAATTACTATTATTAGTTATTCACGAATTTACTCATTAGTTTCAACAAAAAAAGGAAGGCAACACCTAACTAACTAACTTGTAGCGTTTTTAGATATCAGCTTCCCATCCGTTTGAATTTTACCTTATTATTTACAGCAATGCTAGAATAACTCTGCCCAATTCGTAAACCAATGACTAGATTCTGTAGTTGTGAGGAAGGAGTACTTAACTCCGACATTTTTATCAAATTTCTAAACACATTTATGTTTAAGCGTGATAAGTAAACGAAAATGACAACTACATGTCAAACCTCGATATAACGAACCTCGATTAATTAAATCTGAAAAAACGCACCACCTTCAAAAAAAATTTTGGTGTAGGGGATCATGATCTCCCACATTAAATAACAAATTCATCGACTACATGTATTTTTTATATCGATATGGATAATAACGATAGGTCAAATTTAATGTTTAGCGTTAGCAAATCATTAGTTATAACAAGGAACATATAATAATTGGATGTATATACATGTATTCCAGTTCACCGTGCTCAAGCTCGATATATGCTAGTTTTATATTATTTATTTTTCAGATATTGGATGTCACTCATTACCATACCATATCAAAAGCCTTATCAATCAAAATGAAAACCACCCTGATCATTCACCAATTTGTCTATTATCCAAAAAATTCTCTATAATCAAAAATGGAATAAGGCTTAATATGAAATTTGTATTTACCAAGTCATCTCGAAGAATTAGGGATTATATTAATAAATCCACCTCATCGATCTGTTAATAATAACCACCACACGACCATGTGAAATGCACAGCAGATATCTAAATATCGAAATAAAACTTTACATGTTTGTTTATTAAGCAAAATAAGGTGGCTCAATTTCAAATTTGATGACTAGTATGAATATTAGATTTTAGCTTTATGTAAAGCATGGGTTACCATCAACCAAAGACACGAAATCTTTCAGAAGCTTCAAATGAACCGGCCCATGAAATGCCACCACATATACCCTTCCCAAGCTAGGATGTTGTCCCAACACCGTACTACGATGGTTTTCGAATAACCTTGCAATAGCATTATCCAGTAATTGCATATTATTGAAGGCAAAAACTGAGCTCGATTGCAGGCATGAGGCATTAGGAAATGGGTTATTATTTGGATTATAGCCAGGGGTACGAAGGATTACTGATCAAAAAAAAATTAAATTAGAAAACCCTTTAAAAGAGATAATATAATATTTACAAACATACTTTGCGCGACGTTATTCTCTGTAATATTTCGGCTAGCAAGGCCCAGCTGATTATATTCGATGATCAACAGAGAATTATTGCAGAAACTTTCATCGTCACACTAAACCCTTTT